CTCTTTTTGCTTTAGCTATTGTAGCTCTCTTCTGGTTCCATATAAATATTAGGGCTGCTTTTCCTACTTCTGTGAAGAATGTTACTGGTATTTTAATAGGAATTACATTAAATCTATAGATCACCTTAGTAATTTGGCCATTTTAACAATATTAATTTCTGTCCACAAAAAGAGGATGGCTTTTCCATTTCCTATTATCCTCTTCTTCAGAATATGGTAGAGATCTTTCAGCTCTTGGTTAGCTATCATGCATGGGATAATTTTCCTGATTTTTTTCTCAGTGGATTAATTATTGGTGTACAGAATTACTGTTAATTTTTGTATTCTTCTACTTGGGTGGATTGATTAGCTCCAAATTCAAATTATTTGTAGGAAAATGAATGAAACTTGAGACCCTAATGTCAATTGAAATCAGTGAGGGGCAAAAGTAGATATTGTATGATATCTCTTATGTAAAAATCCAAAATATAAATAAAGAGTTAAAAAAGGAGATATTTGGAATTGAGGGTATAGACTTCTTGGAGATAGAGAAAAGGATCAAGGGAAGGAGAAAGAGGAAAGGGGAAGGAAGGGGAAAGGGAGATCATACATCATATGTGTATACCAATTTCCCAAGACAAAGGTAATTATTATGCATTATTATTATTATGTATCAAAATATATACCAATTAAATATATTAAAATGACATGTGTGTGACCTTACACTGACCTGTTGCAATGTTTGCTTTCAAAAGGATGAAAAATAATAAATATTAACAAGAATGACAGGCAAGAGAATACTTTCAAAGTATTGGTAGGGATGTAAGTTTGTACAGCTACTATGACGACAGTATGGAGGTGCCCCAAAATTTAAAAATAGAACTAATATGTGATCCAGCAATTCCGCTACTGGGCATATCTCCAAAGAAAGTGAAAGCAACAGCCTAAAGAGTTTTCTGTTTTCCCCCATTTGTTGCAGCCCTTTTTATAATAGCTAAGACATTTAATCAAGTAAGTGTGCATCGACGGATAAGTAAAGAAAATATGATATCAGTATGCAAGAGAATATTATTCAATCTTTTCACATCTTCCAACCTACAACTGTCTTGTGCATATCCTTGTATCTCCTCAACATGTTGCACAGTTTAGCTTAATGGATTCAGCTGCTGGACCCATCAACCCTAATGGTTATGCACGTGGCATCTTCTAGTTTCCAATCCACCACTGAAGATGTAGAACTCATCTCATCTCAGCAGCAAACAAAAGTCCAAACAAATGGAAAAGCAAAGGCTTTTCTTGGAATAATCAGATAATTCAGATCTGAGGGAAAATCACTCTGACTGAAAGTGGAAAGAGAAACAGCAAATCCCAACTTATCAGAGCAGAAAGCTAGCAACGCAAACTTCTGTGAAAACCAAACATACTCCCAGAGTAGGAAACCTAAAATGTAATTGATGACTTCCTGGAGGCTCCATGCAAAAAGCTTTTAAGAGTTAAAAATAATGGCTTAGCGCAAGGTCGTGAGTTCGGTTCCCGGTACCGGAGAAAAACCAAAAAAATAAAAATAAAAATAAAAATAATGGCTTGAGCTAACTGTGCTTAACTGTGCTAGGACCATGTTCTAGAAATTGCTCCAAACATGTTACATGTGTCCGCTTATTTAATTCATAACAGCTTTACAGTTGGGGCAACGGAGCCATGGGGGATATCAGTAAGTTGCTTAATATCATGTGGCTGGAAGGCATCAGAGCCCACACACTTAGTGATGACACTATTTGCCTGATACCTGACACCAGTAGCCACGCAGGCAGGATCACAAGAGACAGTCATGGGTTGGGTCACATATATGGAGATTGCAAAAGCCTGAAAACATTCTTCAAGAAATATCTCTCTTCTCAGCAATTGGGAATTGCTTTTCCAAATCCTAACCCTGCACTTTAATCACCCCGTGGCCCTCTCCCTCCTGCGCTAGTCTGTAAAGTTTCTTCTCTCTTCACACTGCCATTACTCATATTTCTAAAGGCCACCATGAAGTGTCTCTGTGTCAAAATCTTCTCAGCTTCATTCTTCAAAGATGAGCGTGTTCTGGGCTCTTTCCTGTGTCCCTCTCAAGCAGAACCTAGAAGACTGTGATGAGTGACGAACATGTGTTCTCCGAGTGAAGTGTATGGCTAATAATTAAACAGTATTAATTCCATCAGTTTTGATTTATATTCTGCTCTCTCAGTAATAAGGCTCGGTACTCTATTTTCTTTCTACCTTGTACTAAGTAATAGAATTGGTGTTTGAGGATTATCACATAAATCTACTTGTTGGTTAGTGTTGGGGAATTTTTTCAATACGTATTACAAATGTATTTATTATCCTCTACTCCATAAAAATAATTAAAAGCTACAGGCCAAACACAAATTCCTAGAACACAAAAGCTTGACTGGCACCGCTCTGCCAAATACCAAAGTTGCCAGCTTCTTAGCTTATGGCTTTCGTAATGAGAACTTGTACCTTTTCATTCAGTAAAGGGCTTAGGTGGACAATTCTTCATGATATTCTCAAAAGTTAGAAACTAAAGCCCTACACATCAAAAATGAAAATGGCCTAATATCATATTATGTATGTTTTTAGCATTCAGAAATGACTTACTCTAAAATAAAAACTGTATTTTAAGAAACCAAAACTATTTTCTTGGAAATGAATAGCAGGATGGAAGCAGTATGCGTTCAAACTGTCCAAAAAACAAAAAAAGCAAGGAAGGAAGAAAAACTGCAAGTAGATCTAATCCATCATTGTGATATCCAATATCCAAGTTTCCCCTTAGATAAAACAGACATAAAACATGTGCTTTACAAGCCTCAGGTGACCTTCAAGACATCTAAGTAGAGTATCTATGGATTTTTAAGTATAATTAACAATTCCTGTTTTTCCATTTAAAGAACTCAAATTCTGTTTCCTTGACAGGCAAAATCCAATCAATCTCTTTCTCAAATGCTAATACAAGCAATTAAAAATAACATTAACTGAAATACTGAAAGGGCTGTTAGGTTTTTGGTTAGTGAGGCTTTTTTGCTTTGCTGTTTTGTTTAGTTTTCCTTCATTTTAACCTCCTGACAATACTCATTTACAGGACTAATTAGGGAAATACCTTTCCTGTGATCCATCTCTAAGACAAAGAGCTGGCCTTTAAAACCCATCAGAGAGCTGCAGAGAGCCACTGCACTGTGAAGGAGCTCAGTACTAGAGTGAGGGCGTTTATTTCGCCTGGTAGACCAAATGTGACAGGTAGTAAATAAAACAATGTGAATATTAATTGTCTGGTTTAGGTAACAAAAGTCCAGTACTCATTTGTCCTGTTGTAACCGTTGTAAAGACGCCCTGTAGGATGAGTAATACTCAAAGCAGCGGTCTAATTAAAAGGAAAACTCAGTTGTCTTGCAAGATAATATAAGGTGATGCATAATTGTAAATTAGATACATGGTAAAAATGAAAAAGACAGCCTAGATAGGAGAGGAATGAAATAAGATTTGGAAATGTGCTTCTTAAATGAACACAAATTGTGAGATAATGTCTCATTGAACAATAAAAATAACAAACCAGTGGCAAAGGTGTAATAGAATTTCCTGTATATACCATTTTAATCTTAATATAATTTTCCCCAGTGCATCCACATTTATTGAACTACTATGACCATTTCTTTCTCACTCTGTCCAAAGTTACTGAGAGTGTGCTCTTTGCTGTAAATAATTCTCCAATAATGACCATGAAAGTGATCCAGAAATTTACTACAGTTTATAAAAGAAAAAATGACATGGCATCTGCTCACAGAAAAGCCTTAGAAGAATGCCAAAATCTGTGCAGTTGCCTCCTAGAAGCAGAGGGAAAAATACAGAAAAACTACCCTCCCCATTTCCACCTATGTCATCAACTCTATGCCTTTCTTCCATTTTTCCTGTCTTTAAAAAAAAAAAAAAAAAAGCAGAGATTTCCAGAGCTACCCAATCTGTGATGTGCTGGACAGAGAGCTGCGCTGGTGCCAGGGGAGTAATGGCACAGTTAACAAGAACTGAAGCAGGCTGACTGAGGTGCACATCTGCACAGCTCGTCCTTCAGTCTGCAAAATGGGAGGATGATACTAGCTAGCTGAAAGCCTGATACATAGGTAGGCGTAAACATTACTGAAATATAGAAGTGTGTCTGCAAACTCCATGTGTATGAAAGGTGTACTGGAGAGGAGAAAAGAAGTCTACCGGGAGCCCTGGGGCTACTACTGGTCCTTACTGAGAAACCCAAGCAAATTCACCAACGCAGTCAACACTGTGTGCATTTTAGACATTCCAAATCCAGTCTGATGATTCCTTATCCCACCTTTGTTTACATTTGCGTTGGTCATTTAATTCGTGTATTTATTTCATGAAGTTCTAAAACGCAAAATTTGAGAAAAATCCCCAAAGTAGAGATCACACCCTCCTCATGGTTTTAATTTGGTATAAATTTGAAATTAGAATCTGCTTTTTGCTGAACATCAAGACCCAAGTATTTTTCAGACTTTAAAATTTTGTCAACAAGTATTTTTCAGACTTTAAAACTCTGATTCACTTTATTATTTTTCAGAAGTTCAGTAGCCAAAACAAATTTCTTCATCCAAGACTTATTCATCCAAGCCTAGACAAAAATGTGCCAAATATATTTTATTAGATATATTAATTTCTTACTGAGTACAATGTATAGCTATATGATGTGACTTTTATCTTTATTCTTTATATTACATTAAGTAGAGGAAAGTTAAAGATCAGACAATAATGATTCCACTAGGCAAAAAAAGCTCTGTGATCAGAAGTAGGCTAGTAAACAAGTATCTTTACAAGAAGTCATTACTGTTACAGCTGCAAATCATGACATATCTTCATAAACTTTGCATTATTGGGCTGGGGATTTAGCTCAGTGGTACAGCACCTGCCTGGCAAGTGTAAGTTCGTGAGTTCAATTCCTGGTACTGGAAAAGAAAACAAAAAGAATTTAAATAAACTTTGCATTATTTTTCTAGAAAAATTTAAGGGCTTAAATGGAATTTTTCCAAATCTGATTTTTTATCTGAAAAATCAATTATATTGTAAAAAAAATCAATTAAAATACAAATAAATTAGAGGGCATTCTTAAACACATTCCTAGACACTGCATAGTAAAACCTCCTAATTACAAATCAGCTGGTACAGAGGCAATTTGAAATCATCTGAGAGATCATCACCAAAGCAGACTGCCTTTCCCGGGGCAGAGGCCTCTTCTTTGGGGTACATTCGCTGGGGACCTTCTCTACTGAGGTCTTTCCAGGCCATTGTTTAGGATGATTTTGGCGTACTCCTTGGCTGAGGTATAAGGGACTCGAGGTCTAGCTGCATCTTCAAAATCAACATGAAAGAGACCAAACCGTTGGCTGTATCCACTGTTCCACTCAAAATTATCCAGAAGAGACCATGCACAGTATAGCTGAAGATTAACTTTGTCAACATGGATAGCTGAAATTTTTTAAAAAGAAAAATTATCATTTGTAAGAAAGCTTTATGAGAATACAGACAAAAATCACTGATCAGAACTCAGGACCCCTTATTCTTGTTTTGCAGGGAATTTCAGTGAAAAGAGAAAAAACGGCTCTTTTTTTCACACATACATGCACACACACAGGCACACACGCACGCATATACACCCAGGTAGCACATGAGGCTCTGTACATGTTATCTTAATTTAGCTATTCCATATTGTATGCATATAGCAAAACATCATGTTGTATACCAGAAATATATATCATTTTTGTATGTCAACTTTTTAAAAAACAATCACCTTTTTCAGGTGTCTGCTTGTATTACACAGTGGCTCCATTCAAGAAGTTAAGTTACAAGGTATTCTTATGTGTTATTCATTCATTTTTAACATTTGGTTTATTAATTCACTTATCCAATGCACAATCTGTAAAACCCATCACTATTATCCAAGCACAAACACACACTCTTTTTCTTTGTCCCTAGAAACATGTTCAACAGTGACACCATCCAGCATCTTTTGTACAGCCTCCATCAGTCCAGAGGCTCCACTGGTTAGCTGGAGGACATGACAGTATACACTTGATGAATTCTCCAAACTTAACTTGTGTCTCCATGTCCAAACTGACATATGCCTTATAATTCTGAACACAACCTCCAAAATCTAAAGAGTAGGCACACAGCTCTGGCCATGCCTGTATGCACTTAGCCATGCCTAGGCTAAGTGCAAAAATGCAAGGGCATCCTGTCTTAGTCTGGTTGGGTTGTTATTACACAGTACCATAGACTAATTGCCTTACAAACAACAGAAATGTGTTTCTCCTAGTTCAGAAGTCTGGAAATCCTAAATCAAAGTAGTGACAAATTTGGCATCTGGACTGCGGATATAGCTCAGTGGTACAAGCACCTGCCTGGCAAGTACAAGGTCCTGAGTTTGATTCCCAGTACAAAAAAAGAAAAAAATGGCATCTATTGAGGGACTATATCTTGGTTCATTGATAAGCAGCTTCTTGATATCATTCACTTTTAACATTTGGTTTGTTAATTAACTTATCATTATTCATTCATTTTTAACATTTGGTTTAATCACGTGGCAGAAAGGACAGAGGGAGCCCTTTTATATTTCTCCTTACCTAGGCACTAATCTTAATTAGGAGGATGCTGTCCTCATAAACTAATCACCTCCCATCAATTCCACTCCCAATATAATCACAGTGGGGGCTAGAACAGCAACATGAATTTTGGGAACACCCAACATTCAGTCTCAGCACATTTCCTTTGATATATATCCAAACTGAAGAGTGCTACTTAAGCTCTTTCAAGACCCAAGAAATAGATTATCTCCACCAAAATGCATATACCCACAAACATAATATTCTATCTTATTTCATTTAGGAATATCCCCAAGTTCATCCACACATTCCCTCTTTGGATGCCAAAATGTGGAGAATCCTCTAAATAATCTTACATGATTCCAAGTGGTTCAGTCCAGGAATTGAGTTCCATTTATATTAGTATCAAGTTAAGTTCAGCAAAACTCTGAAGTTCTATAAATCTTGGCATTAAGCACTTTCTTTTTTCAAAAAAAATCAGCATAAGAAAGCCTCATCTATGGGAAGCAGTAATATCCATTTCTCCATGCAGAGACTAAATGAAAAGGTAGATTTGTTTATGAAGATGGTTATATTCCTAAAGAAGCTGGGTGAAAATTAACATTTATATAATAAATCAGAGTTTTAATTGAGCTGAGGATTATTTTCAACCAAAGTGACTCTGTCTATACATTCAGCCAGGCAAGTTTCACTCTTCAAATTTTCTTTGGTTTCAGTCTGTATTTTTCAGATCTCTTAAAAATACTACACCCATATTCTACCACATATCTGGGTCTACACATCTTCTTGTTTTCTGGTTTGTTTTTTCTACCATGCGTGTTGCATAAATGAAAGGTCCCTGACAGGTTTACTGGCATGTAACCTCCACACTTGTGCTTAGAAGCATGCAAAGTGCTCTGCTTACAGAATACCTTATAAATGACCTAAGGCAGGAATTAAGTCAAGCTGGATTAGCTCTTTTAAAATAAAATGCTATTGGAAAATGACAAATATAGCATTCAGGCTATTAAGCTCTACAGGAATGAAAACATTTTCTAGATAATTCCTTTCCCTATCTACTCTCATCTGCATGCGTGTCTCCTCCCTTCTTCATCAATTATAATCTGTAAAATATCACCTTTTCATAATTTTTTTTAGAAACCCAGTGTAAGTACATAGTTCCAAGTATCAAAACAACCACAACCAAATACCATGATACAAAACAGTGATCTTCTTGGCTTTATAATTAAATGCATGAAAGAATCTGCATATTCTTTTTTCTCTGCAGAACTACTGGCCAACAAGAAAGCCCGCCAGCCAGTTATAAGCAAGACAGTTTTTTTTTAAAACAGACACAGTCCCACTGATCACGTATAAAAGGATTGATTCATGTGCTAAACCAGGGGATAAAAACGAGGTCCTGCCTGCTTGGAGGGGAACAAAAAGGAAATCTTGACAATTTCATTGTTAACTGCCAGCAGTTCGGCAGGAAGCACTGAACTGCCCGAGTGACACTGGTGATGTGTCTGCATGCTCGCTGCGGGAACATTCAAGTGGAGAATTACCTAGTTAGACCAGAGGGACTAGCTTGCTGGATTCTCATTGTACCACTGGTTGGAAAAATGACAAAACCACATTGGCATCTGCACGCCTCCCCTCTTCCAATCTTCTCAGGACTGGGAAGAGACCATCATCACATTTCTCATCACCATGATTTATGAGGTCCGAGGTCTTGGCAGAGGGAAAAATCACTTCTGTGAGTTCTCTTTCTTTCCTTAACCAGAGTTAGAGGCAAAGTCAATATGAACCAACAGAACTTTGGATGGGTACAGAGCACACTGGGATAAAAATTGTTGCCCGTGGCAGAGACATGTAATGGATGTCAAGGCTTTAGAAAGGGTCTCACAGACAACAGGCAGGATGTAAAGATGCAAGCAGAAAAACTGCCAAATCTTGCTCAGTCTGACTGTTCTAATTGTAAGGCCATCCTAGTGTTACTTTCTACACAGACATGGAGGGAGGGAGAGAGAGAAAGAGAGAGAGAGAGAGAGAGAGAGAGAGGTACTCATGCACACACTGCCCAGATTTAACCAAACTAAAAAGATCTGGCTGGGCTGGGGATTTAGCTCAGCGGCAAAGGTGCCTGCCTGGCAAGCACAAGGTCGAGAGTTAGGTTACCGGTACCAGAAAAAAAAAACAAAAAAATAAAAAAATTAAATTAAATTTTAAAAAAATAAAAAAATAAAAAGATCTGGCTAACCTCCACCACAGGACCACCCTCACATCTGACACCAGCCCAGAACATCTTTGGTTTTGATCATTGTCTAGAAGGATTCATAGTACACACTAAAGTTGTTGTGCTTATAATTATGGCTATGACAGCATAACGATAGGAGTGCAACTTCAGCCCAAAACAGAAGCATGGGGCAGAGTCTGAGAGGGTCCTAGGAGTCAGGACACGCTCCCCTCCTTGTATTCATATGGGAGAGGACAAACGGAGTGCTGACCATTGGGGAAGCACACTCCAGCCTGAGGGTCTGTATTATTTTTATTGTGGACCCCAGCACATAGGCACAACTGACTGATTGACAGTCTATGTAGATAAATTTGTACTCTGTGCAGTCATACACACACACACATACACACACACACACACACACACACACACACGCACCACACATACACACAAGCACACACACACACACACACACACACACACACAGAACCTGCAGCTACTTTTGCCTGATGGAATTTTAAAATCTTAGTAAATCTCAACTTTTTTCTGTTTTCTGAGGTCAGAGTGTCAAAGCCCAGAGCTACAGCAGGTGGAAAGCCATACCATGTAGCTGGCTGCCAAGCTGATACCCTGAGTCACATGGTTGATCTTTCTGGTGTGACTGGTTTCCATCCTATACAAAGACAACCTTATCATCTATGGCAGAAGCGGACAACAAGAGCCAAATTATTCTTAGGGCAAAATCAAATTCTTTACAACGTAAGTGTGTGCATACTCAAATATACACACTTACTTTAGAAATTCATTAGTTCATGGTATTAGGAAGAATCTTCACGTTACTGGCTTAGGATACATAATTATGTCAGTGTTTATCAAATTACAAGCCTAGAAACTGGGTAGGCAACATCAACAAGACTTATCTCCCTTAGTTTATAAAAAGAGATAGCCTTTATTTTCAAGATTATCTATGGCTTACAGAGGACACCCATAAATGTGGCAAAACTGTCATATCAAATAAGCCACTATCTGCAGACCCAACCTGCCACGCCAACAACTAGTAGAAAGATTTAGGACAGCAGAAAAGGCAGCAGCTTCACACAAGAGTACAAAAGAGATAAAACTCAGGGATGTGTGTAAAGAAAAAATATACAGGCTTCAAGATTTCAGTGTTCAGGTAATAGCAAGCTACATTATTCAAGGAAAACCACCCAATGCAAATAAGTAAAAACTGCTGGATAAAATTTTGCTTTTAATTTCCAAACAGTGGGCTGACGGCAATAGTAGGAACTGCCAGATCAATTCTGACAGTAAGACACGAGATTGGTAGACATTGTGGCTACTAAATTGCAATGGAATTTTCCAATATTGGGAATTATGAAATTATTTCTATATTCTGAGATGCAGATCAGTGTCAAAACCCAGAACCACACCAGTTCAGTCTAGTTGGAGACCAAACACACAGAACACTAAACCAGCAGGATAACAGCGGGAGTAAACCAGAAGCAAGAAAGTCACTGGCAAGTACTGAATTAGCTGGTTGCTAGGCAAAGCAATCTAGATCTTGAATTGAAGTGATCCTAGACTAGTACTATCTCAAGTGCCTCGCACATTCAATTTCTTTGTGAATGGAGGTACCTGTATTCCAAACCTGT